GTCGTAATGCAGGCACACGTCCATGGCCCGCCGCGCGAAGTCCGTGGGGTCCCGCTCGAAGGTGTGCGACGCTTTCTCCGTCACCAGCCGCGTCTCCAGGCGCTGCAGCTGTTCGAAGGCCGCCAGCAGCTGCCACTCGGTGATGAGATCCGCCACGGACTTGCCTTTTCGCCAGGAGGCAGGAGAGGGGCAGTGAGGGGACCCCGTGAGCCTGTAGCCCCCAGTCTGACCCCGGAGCGGCGCTGCCTGGCCCCAGAGCTCGGCTGAAGGCCGCTCTGGGAGCAATATCCCCAACTGCCGGAACCCCCTGAATCACGTTTGAAGAGGTAGAACCCCAGGCCCAAGCCTGGCTGCAGACAGCATGTGGATCAGCCCCTGCCCCCCGCACCCACCTCCGCTCCGGCCATCCCAGCTCTGCTGAGCCCTACCTGGGCCTCAAGTGCAGCCCCTCCTGCAGGTCCAGGGGTCAGACTGCAATGCCCAGGCTGCTGCCCCGTGTCCAGCTGGAGCACTTTGTGCTGCTCCAGCTCAGGGCCAGCCCCCTGCTCTGGGAGCCTCTACTTCCCCCTGTGCCCCCCTTCAGGGCACAGCACCTGTGTGTCCTCTCCTGGGCCGCCCCGGCCGCCCCTCCAAGCCGCCATGGCTCCCTGCAAGCTCTGTGACCCGTGACCTAAGAGGGCAGCGCCTTGCCCATCACTAGTTCGGCCAGGAGCCAGGGAGGCTGGAAGAGGCCAGGGCTCTGGAGCCGCAAGTCTGGATTCCAGTGCCATTTCTCCCGTCCCAGCTGTGAGGCGTGAGAGTCACTTCATCTCTCTGAGCCTCCCTCTCCTGCGCCCACAGGAAATGCCAGAGGAATTTAAAATGCAACTGTGCGGGGGCAGGGGTGGGGGGGCTGGGGAGAGCCTGGCCAGCCCTGGGCTCCGCTGTCCGCCCTCTGGCCTCAGTTTCCCCCCCGGCTTAGTGCTGTTGGTGCCGCCCTCACCTGCCTCAGATTCCAGCTCCTCCGGCTCCTCCCTGGGGGATGCCTGCTGGCCGACGCCGTCAATGGCCCTGGAGGGCTCCTCGGGGCTGTGGCCTGCCCCTGGCACAGCAGTGGCCTGGCCCTGGTCCACGGCCGGCCTGTGGTCCTTTGAGCGTCGCAGGGACCGGAACAGGAAGCGGGAGCTGCGGCGGAGCAGGCCTGGGTCCTCCTCCGAGGCCCGGCCCGTGGCCCGCTGGCTCACCCGGGAGAAGGCCCGCTGGAAGGTGCCCAGGCCTGACATCAAGGCCTCACGCTGGGTGCTGGGCCCTTCCCCGCTGCTTGCCCGCCGAGTGCCCGGCACTGGGGTCGGTGGCTCCCCGGGCTCCTTGGGGCTGTGCAGCTCCGGCCCAGCGGCCACTGTCCAAGGTGTGGTCTGCATGGCAGCAGCAAGAGAGCTGGGGACGAAGAGGAAGCACAGGAGGCCTGAGGGTGCCCAGCCATGGGGAGCGGGACAGAAGCGCGTGAGCGCCCGGTGGGGCCTGGCGGGGGCCCAGTCGCGTGGTCAGGGAAGCTTCCCCCAGGAGGAGAGTCCTGGGCTGTCACAATGGCGTGTCACCAGGCAGCTCTCAGGCCAGTGCTGTCTGTGCCAGGCTGCAGCCAGCGCGGAGAGGTAGACAGCCACTTCCTCCAGGAAGCCCCCCTGACACCCCTTCCAGGGGTCTCCCCCTGGTGCCCATCCTCACCGCTCTGCCAGGCCAGACCCTCCAGCAGAGGTGGAGAGGGGAAATGGGCAGGCAGTTCCTGAGGCCCAGCCCGAGCCACGGTCCCCTGGGCTGGACCCAGCAACCACATCAAGGACTTCGTAGACCTCAGGTCCTCGGGCCTAAAATGCCAGCCACCACCACAGCGTTCGCCGCCCCCCAGGCCTCAGCTCACCCCCATTCGGCCTGTCAGGCCTAACTGCTCTGCTCAAGGGGCACTCAGACTCTCTTGGGAGCCCCCCTTCCCAGGGGGAGTCGGAACCAGAGGGAGGAGGGGTCAGCTTTCGGGCATTGGAGGAGGCAGCTTATCGGGGACTTGCAGCCAGCCGGGGGAGGTGGTGGGAGGGGCCCTGGTCTATATTTAACTAGGAGCTGGAGGTGCCCACGGCAGTTTCTCACCCATTATATCTGCCCCCATAGCAGGTGAGGAGAGGGGCCCTAGGCTCTGGGGGTGCAGATCAGAGGCTGGCCCTGCCCACGCAGGCCCCCCAGGCTCTGGCACATTCCCTTTCAGCCAGCATGGCTGTGCTTGGCTTTCTGGCTTTAGGTGAAGCTCTGGGTGGGAGAGGAGAGAGCCTTTTCTGCCGGCTGGACGGCTGGACAGGAGGTCCCAGCAGGGGTGTGTGGAGGGTTTAGCCTCAGAGAAACTGGGGCAAAGGAAGGACAGGACCTGCTGAAGTCACTGACCAAGAGGCTGAGCCCCAGCTCATTCCCAGCTCCCACCCCCCACAAAGGCCAGCTGAGGGCCAGCACCCGGTCCTTGGGCATCTTGGACATCGGGCAGGAACAGCCTCTCCCCAGGCCCTCACCCACCCTGTCCAGGGGCCAGCAGAGACCTACCTTCCTCTCGAAGAGGCTGCGGGCAGCTGGCAGGAGGCTCTGCTGAGGGAGGGGCGGGCCAGGTGATTGATGGCGCCTTGTCGGCTCCGCCCCGGCCACAGGTCACCGTCCTCTCTGGTGCCAGAGCTCAGTGACCCTGCCTTGACTCAGACCCACCCACACAGGCAGGGAGCATCGCCACAGGAGCCGGGTCCCCTGCTCGTCCCACCCCCTGGCGCCCCAGCAGGGGCAGGCGTGGTGGTGAGGACCGTGCCAGCTGGCAGAGGGGCCCAAGGTGCAGGCAGCTCCCAGATGCCAGGAGGGAGTCAGACTTGAAGGTCTCCCCGGAGCCTAGAGGCAGATTCTGCGGGGGGGAAGGGGTGTTGTAGTAATATATAGAAATGTTTAAAAACGTCTAAAAATGTTAAAGAAGGTTTATAAACGTTTGAGTTAACTTTCCTGAAGCTCGAAGTGTAATATTAAGGACACATACTCCACTATCCTGAACGTGTATATCCCTTAGATAAGGAATTGAACTTCGAGTGACTTACTATGATAGACATACGTTCGCCTGTGTAATTGCTGATTAACACTTGTAACCCTGACGTAGCTATAAGATAAACACCTGGACTGCTGTGGGTGCGAACAGGCTGTAAAAATGAATCCCCGAAGAAACCCCCCCTTGATCATCGCTTGACGAAAGAGCTTTGTAGTTGCGATTGCTTTGATCCCTGCACTGCACTGGTGGCTTTGACGGCTGGGCTGGAAGTTTACCTTCGCCGATAGCCGCCTTCCGTTTTGGGTGCAGTTCCCTCCCCATTCCTCGGGGCCTCGTATCTCTGTGCTACACGCAACGCCCCCTGAAACCTGAAACTCCTGACCTGACTTGCCAGCCAGCCCCAGAGGAAAGCCATGTTTTGGGATCCTGCTAAGCCTCTACCCACAGCGCCAGGAATTTTGTGAGTAACAGTGTGCTGTGTGCTGATAAGCTTTGTGCCCACTGCAATGTTAAAAGGAGAATAAATTGCAGTGTGAATTGCAACAGTAACTATTTGTGTGGCATAATTCCTCCGGCAGCCATAATGATCTATACCAGTGGTCGGCAAACTGCGGCTCGGCAAACCGCGGCTCGCGAGCCACATGCGACTCTTTGGCCCCTTGAGTGTGGCTCTTCCACAAAATACTAGCTCTTCCACAAAATATCGACTTCTGTGCATGGGCCACGAAGTTTCAATTGCACTGTACGTGCGCACCCGCACGTGGTATTTTGTGGAAGAGCCACACTCAAGGGGCCAAAGAGTCGCATGTGGCTCGCGAGCCGCGGTTTGCCGAGCAACTGGCCATCTTCCGGCCGGACGTCTGACTTCCTTCCGGACAAAGCCAAGGAAGAGGTGGTTAGGGGTGATCAGGCCGGCAGGGGAGGGCAGTTGGGGGCCATCAGGCCAGCAGGGGAGTGGTTAGGTGGTGATCAGGCCTGCAGAGGCGGTTAGGGGTGATCAGGCAGGCAGGCAGGCAGGCGAGCGGTTAGGAGCCAGCGGTCCCGGATTGCGAGAGGGATGTCTGACTGCAGGTTTAGGCCCCATCCTGCAGGATGGGGCCTAAACTGGTAGTCGGACATTCCCCGAGGGGTCCCGAATTGGAGAGGTTGCAGGCCGGGCTGAGGGATACCCCCCAGCCCCATGCACGAATTTCATGCACTGGGCCTCTAGTACTAATATAAGGTCAGGTGAAAATGCCTACTCCCGGTCCTGCCAGCTCAAAGGCGTCTTTTTGCTGGCAACTACTTTAAATGCCTGAATACCTGCACGGTTAAAGCTTATCTCAAGGGACGCCTTGGATAAATGCTCCTCTTCCTCGGGCAATGGGGCAGCTGGGGGTGGTCTCGTGGGAGGTTACTTGGGGCCCAGCCTGATCAAATCAGAGCTGCATCACAGGCCCCTCGGGCCCAGCCAGTCCCCCAGCCCTGTGGCCCTGCTCCTGCAGCTTCCCCAGCCATTCTTGACCTCCCTGAGGCACAAGGCAGCCGGTCACTCTCCTACTCTAAGCCCCACAGAGGCTCCCCCCGCTCGGGCCACACCCCAGCCCGCAGCCTGGCATCTGAAGCCCAGCATCGGGGAGACCTTCAGCCTCACCTGCAGCGCCCTCACCTGCACCCACAGCTCTGGCTGTGGAGCCGTTGGACTGTGCTGCACCACCTGTCGGCTCAGGGGCACTTGGGACTGTCCCCTCCTACTGGCCTGAGAGCCTCTGAGCACCAGCCGCCTCCCCGTAACCCTGGAGCCAGCCTGGAGGAGGAGTGCACCCTCAGTGTCAGGTGGCCCTGCCTGGCCTGCCTGGGCTCCACGGTGGGGCCTGCTGGGCTGGACCCTGCAGACTCCACCTTGGCCCTGCCCAGCACTGGCCTCTGCACCGCCTAGGGCATCTCTCTGGCTCCCTGCCCCATTGCCCTGAGTGTCCAGAGGCCCAGCTTCAAGGCCCAGGAAACTCAGGCCCAGCCGGAGCCCTGGTCCCACACTCCCCAGGTCAAGCCAGCACAGCTGCAGAGCCAGCGGGGGGCAGGGGGGGGGAGCGGCAATGCCACCCAGGAGCCATGGTCATTGGGAGCTCCCATCGGGTGCCACCAACTGTGACCAAGAAGCCAGGCCTGGGCTTCCTCCCTTCCTTACCCCCAGCCTCAGCGTCCACCCCTGTTCCTAGACCTGCCCTCCCACCCTCCTCATCTTCCGTCAGTGGCCATCCCACCCCAACCTCCCACCTCCCCTGGGCCGAGCCATCACCCCACCCTTGAAAGCTCCACACCAGCCATGTGAAGCAGGTGACTGCTTGCACCCTGGGCCATACCCCGGGGCAGACTGTCTCCCCCTGTCACCTCCCACCCGCCATCCCCCATCACCTGGTCACAGGTCCTACCTACTCCCTCCCGGACCCCCTGGATCCTTTCTCCTCAGAGCAACTGGTGGAGAGAAGGGGGGGCGGGGATCCTGCCGAAACATAAACCTCCCTTGAAACCCTTCCTTGCAAGCTAAGCTAAGAATCTCCTAAAAATAAGACAGGTGTGTTCTCACCATACTACCCCCCATGTGTCTGTTAACGCTATAAGGCAGTGGTTCTCAACCTTCTGGCCCTTCAAATATAGTTCCTCATGTTGTGACCCAACCATAAAATTATTTTCGTTGCTACTTCATAACTGTAATGTTGCTACTGTTGTGAATCGTCATGTAAATATCTGATATGCAGGATGGTCTTAGGCGACCCCCGTGAAAGGGTCGTTCGACCACCAAAGGGGTCGCGACCCACAGGTTGCAAGAAAAAGAAGAGGTAGAAATATTGGAAAGACCTGATAAAACCATCATTATTCATAGGAGATGTGATCATCTGCTTAGAAAATAGCTGTCCTGTACCCCAGAAAAACCTGTGGGCTCCCCTCGATAGCCACAAACACAGGAAACCCTCGGGGCTGCCATCACTCAGAGAAGTAGACTTTCCTTAGCTGGCACTCAAGCCCCTCTGGCTTCTTCCCCACTCACCACCTCTGAGCTCAGAAGCACTCACTCTCCCCTCCCTTTGCACAGGCTGTGCCCTCTGCCAATAGTGACCTCACCCCCACCTTCCCCAGCTGCCAGCTCCTTCAAGGCTCAGCACAAGTGACTCCTCCTCCAAGAAGCCTTCCTGGAGCAGCTGAACCGCAGAGCGTGGTCAGCACCTCCCGCTCTGAGCTGGTCTGGCCCTGGCATACCTTCTCCCGTGACTAAGGGACAATGACAGGGTCTGGGGCACCTGCCCTCTAGCCAGGACCCCCTCGGGGCAGGGGGTGGGCCTGACCCACTGGGCAGGTGCCCAAGGAAAACAGATAAGCAATCTAAGGCAGGAGCGTGAGCCCGTGGGTGTGCCCACACTTCTGTGTGTGTGTGGGACTACGTGTGTCTCCTCGTGTGCGCCTCTGATCTAGAACGTATGTGCCTCCGGCCGTCTGCGAGTGCTCTCCCCGAGTCCGTGTGTCTGTCTGCGCCTGCATGTGTGTCTTTATGTCCCTGCCTGTCTGCCTGTGTGTGTCCACTGTGACTTAGCTGGCGCGATGGCCTGGGCTCCGGGCGGAGCGGAGTTCCGGAAGGCCACTGGGAGGCCCAGAATGGTCCTCAGTCCCTGAGTCCCCGCCCACCAGCCACGGCACCCCTGTGACCTTCCTGCTCCACCTGCAGGGGACATACCTGCTGAGGACGGAGACACCGGGCCCTGACAGGACAAGCCACCAGGAGAGGCCGCCGAGCGGGCCCTCGGAGCCGGCCGCGGTGAGGCCTCTGGCAGCCAGGCAGCCAGAGCCAGTGACCAACAGCTGGGACTTCCCAGCTGAGGCCAGCAACCCGCCACTGCCTTGCCCCCTGCCCTCCCCCCAACCCCCCTCCCCCCCTTACTTTCACTTTCAGAAACATTCCAGCCCTTCCTTCCCAGCGCAATCTCTCCAACCTTTGAGTCCAGCAAGCCCAGGGCTCAGGCTGAGGTTCCAGACCCAGGAGGCGGGCTCCGGAGCAGTGGACGCCGCTGGGGACAGCTCTCCCTGCCAGCTCCTCCTGCGGTCAGCCCCGGGCCAGCGGGGGAGCCCAGCCCACTGATCCCTCCAGGACAGAGGTGCCAGCACCAGGCCTGCCCGCCAGGCTCACCCCAGGGGCCCTGCCTGAGAGCCAGGAGAGCAGAACCGTGGGCCCGGCTGGCAGGGTGGGGGAAACGGTGACAGCACTGGGCGCCCTGTGAGCCACGCGCCAGCACAGAGGGTGCAGGAGCTGGAAGGGGAGGCTCCAGAGCTGAGGAGGCGGCTCCCTGGGCAGGGAGGGGTCCACCTGGGAGCCGTGCGTGGGGCAGGTCCGCTCCTCCCAGGCTCAGGCTGAAGAGCTTCGTGGGGAGGGTCACTGAGATTTCCCAGAAGAAGCCGCCCCCACCCTGCTGCGGGGGATTCCGCCAGGAGCGGCCCGGAAAAAACTTAGGGAAAATCCAGGGAGGACAGATCCAGGCCTGTCCGACCTGGGCGGGAGCCACCAGGGAGGGGGACGAAGCAGGGTGCTGGGAGAACAGACAGGCTGTGGGCTGGTGTCCGAAGGCCCTCCAACACAGTTATTTCTCCCCGCTCTGGAGGCGGGAGGGTGGGCCCCAGGTGTGTGCAGGCTGGTGTCTCCTGAGGCCTCTCCCCTCGGCTTGAAGGTGGCCATCTTCTTCCCGTGTCCTCGCGTGGCTTCCTTCCGTACGTGTCTGTGTCACCTCTTCTGATAAGGACACCGGTCCTGTTGGGTTCGGACCCCCCTGCTGGCCTCATTGTGACGGAAGCATGCCTAGAGACCCTCTCTAAGTGCAGGCGCCTCCTGAGTGACGGAGACCTAGGGTCTCACCAAAGACTGTTACGAGAGCGAAATCCAGCCACAGCAGATTGGAAGGCACCTGGGCTGCCGGAGCGCCTCTGCCATTGGCAGGTGGGCCTAGTCGGGGGCAAGTTGCCAGCACGTTCCCCGGGAAGCCCTCTGTTTACCATGGAGCCGTTAGCCCCCTGAGCCCTGGGCTCCCCTCTGTGAAGTGGGGTCCTGAGAGTCCCAGCTCAAGCCTGTGGGGCACCCAGCTGGCTGGGTGGGCCTTTCCCCTCGCTCAGGCTGCCTGCCCGCTGGCCTCCCATTCCCTGCATCTCTCAGTCAGAGACGGACAGATGGGAGGGGCAAGCACAATCCCAGAGACTCGAGGTGACCTCCCCGGACTGCTCAGCGGGGGTCCTGGGGCAAGTCTGTCCTGCTGGGTGCCCTGTGGGCAGGTGACTGCTACCCATGCTGCACTGACTCAGAGAAGCACAGGGACCTGCTCACGGCCACACAGCTGGCGAGAGACCAGGCCTCCAGCCTAGGTTTCCGCCTGGGAAAACGGGGCCTCCCCTGGGGACAGGCCCTGGGGGACCTCAGTCTGACCCTCCTGCTCCCTCGATCACAGGGCACGTCCTGGGACCTCCACCCAACAGACAGGTCCCTGCAAAGCTGGTGGTGCCCAGGGCCTGGGATGGCGCCCGCACTTCTCCCCAAGTCCCAGCTGCACCCACTCTGCCCAAGCCCGAGGCTGGCTTTCAGCCAGAGGCTGTAATGCGCCCTCTATTCCATTTCCACGTTGCTTCTCCAGCATTCTGAGTGGAATCCTACGGCAAAGCCCGCTGGTCTCAGGGGAGCCTCCGGCCAGGGCTGGTCTGGCCGGTCGGGCATGGCAGGCAGAGGTCGCAGTCCAGAGGCTGGGCTGCACCCTTGGGAGAGGCCCTTCTGACTCTGAGCCCTTTACTCCGCCATAAAGCAGGGCTGCTGTGGGTCTAATGGGTTCGCCTCGGTGGAGGGCCTGATCCCAGGGGGGAAGGGCAGGACACAGACCCTCAGCACCAGTGCCTGTCTGACCTCGTGTTCCTGGGAAGCCAGGCTCTCCCCCCCAGTGCAGACGCCACGCGGCAGATCCCACCCGCCCTGCCGCCGGCTCGGGGCGGAGACGGGCTGAGAGCAGGAGGCCTGGGCTCCAGCCTCGGCCCCTAACCGTCTGCGGACCTTGCTGAGCTTCCCTCTCCCCAAGGTGGACACCGCAAACACGAGGAGGCCCATCCGGAGGCCCATGGGGCAGTGACGGGGCGGGGCTTAATCATGGGCGGGGCGTCCTCTCGGGCACCGCCCCCGACCTTTACCAGAGAAGCGAGAGGTGGTGGCGGTGGTGGCGGTGGTGGGCGGGGCCCTGCTGGGCTAAAGGCGCCGGTGCGGTGGCTGCGGGCTCCTGAGCTGTTCCGGGAGCAGATGACGGGGTAGAGATGCTCTGCCCCCCCACTGGGCTGCCTCCCTGGGTCCGCACCCCCTCCTCCCAGCTCGCCGGGCATGGGGAGCTCCAGAGTGGCATGGTGGGCACCGGCCCGCTTGGGTCTGAGGCGCTCCTGGGATTGCGAGCTCAGCTCTCTGTGGCTGTGGGGCCGCGGGAAAGTCAGGTCTAAATGGGCTGGGAGGGTGAGGATGAAACCTCTGCATGTGGCACCATTGCCCACCCCCGTGCCACATGGGGAACCTGGAAACCACCCCGCTCCCTCCCCGCCTTGCCCGATATTCCCAGTGTCAGCAAGTCCAGCAGCACTTCCTGGGGAATGTCTACCCCCTTTCCCACCCCCTTGGGGACCAGACCCCAGGGGCTTGAAGGACAGCCCCACACCTCTCCCAGGCTGCAGGCCAGGGGAAGGCCCACAGAGCGGCCTGGGCCTGTGTGGGGGGCGCAGGGGTCCCAAGGCTAAACTTAAAGCAGAGCCCAGACCGCAGGCAAACTGGCACTTCCACCTCCCACCTCTCCTGCATGTGGGGGTGGGGGTGGGGGCGGGGTGAGCTATTTTTAGAAGGAAGGGGCAGGGGAAGGGCCCTAGAACAGAAGGGCCTGTCTCCTGCCTCCCCTGGCCACATGCTCACCGGCCTTGTCCCACCGCCTGCGCCTGTGTGTTTTGTGGGGCTGACATTTATGCCAGGCTGCCCCTGCTAGCCCTGAGGCTCCTCGGGCCTCGTGGTCAGGCTTGCTGAGGGCAGGGGCCAGGTGGGGCGGGTGGCACACCTGGGGAGTGGCCGGGCAGTGATCAGGTTTCTGCCCCCCAGCCAAGCTGGCCCCTGTCCTGGTGCAGTGGGACAGAGCCCAGCGACAATGAGGCTGGAGCCCATGGAGAGACAGGACCCTCACGTCACGTGGCACAGAAAGAGGTGCCACCTCATCTCCCAGGTGGGCTCTGTGTCTAGCTGGCGGCTTCCCAGCCTCAGGGACCCCATTATAGCCTTGGACACCTCCCTTCACGCCTCAGTTACCTTAACTGTAAAATGGGACTTTGTAGGATTTCAGGAGATCCAGCCTGGAAGAGGGCGCCCACCCCGGACCATTCCTGCGCCCTGGTGCCCAGGTAGGAGGGACGAGAGCACTGACTCCTGCCCTCAGGGCCCCGCCTGGGCTGCAGGCCCCAAGGAGGGTGGCGCGGTGAGTGAGGGAGCCGGTCCTGCCCGCCACCTGGTCTGGGGCAGAGCAGACAGCCCTGGGCAGGGGCCCGAGGAGCCCATGCCACAGCCCCTGGGGAGCCCCACCCCCCGCCCTGGCCTTCGCCCCACACAGACACCCACGTGGTCTCTCCCAGCACCCGGCCTGGCCAGCCAGGGCTCGGAGCCGAAACCCTGGCCCGGAGGCCAGCAGCAGGACCCAGATTGTCCTCGCCCCCTCGAGTCCCCACTGAGGGTGCCACTCCCAGGAAATGCCTTTATTTCTGCTTCAAACCACAGAGCAAGGAGGGGGTGATCCCGCCCCTGAGCCTGGGCGGGAGAGGGGGGTGCGCCTGGCCAGAGGAGGTGAGTGGAGGCTCAGCCCAGCTTTATTCCCGGGGGCTGGGGCCCTCCCAGCGGTCAGGGAGCAGTGGGGCCCTCCCAGCGGTCAGGGAGCAGTGGCGGCGTTGGCAGGGACAGCAGAATCTGGCCCTGGTCTTGTCCTATCCCTGGGCCGCGGGGCCTGGGCCTCGGAGCTGGCACACTCGCTGCCGGGCTGGCCTGATACGTCCCTGGGTGCTCCTGGCAGGCTGGGCGCGGGGGCTACAAGACAAGAAGGCCCCTGTTGGTGGGGCTGCTCTCCTGGCAGGTTTGCAAGGAAATGCGGGGTGGGGGGGCTGCACCTGGGGGGGGCTGGCCGCAAGTTCCCCCCGCGGGAAGGAGGGGTGCCAATGCGCACCCCTGGGCAGGGAGGAAGGACGAGGTCAAGCTCTGGGAGCAGGAGCACCCCCTGCCCTGATCCCCCCCCCCTCAGAATAAGGAGTGACAGATGAGTCCAGGGCAGACCTGGGGACTCCCCAGAACCCAAGTCCCACCCACAGAAGGGGGTGTCCTGGTGCTCTTCTGAGTGGAACCTGACAGAGGGTGGGACGGTGTTGGGGGGACAGGTGGGTAATGGCGTGGACAGGCCCAAGCTTCAGGGGGCTGCTGTGTGGGTGTGGGGGGAGGGTGACAGGCGAGGAAGGAGAGAGGGCAGGCAGGGTACTAAGCAACCCCAGCTGAGGCCAAGTTCATCTCCAAACCAGGCAACAGACCTACCACCCCCACCAGCGCATGCCCTCCAC